AAGTCGGCTGATAATTACTGCGGGACCGATTAACATCCCTAGTCATCAGCAATCATTTCAGTTGTTCCAGAATTTATGAAAACAGCTATAAGATCCATCGAATTCGGATCCAAATAGAGATTCGATTCGTCATATATAAAAGCATCAGGATCCAAGGATCCTTCTGTTTAAACACGAATCCGAATCCGTACTTGGGCCCGATCCGAATTTTCGGATCATATCCGGATCCTTGAAAATATCTGTCAGATCCGATCCATGTGGAACACTAATCGTACTATACAGCATCAGTGTATATTTCTATTTTCATCGTTGAGTAATTCCTCGCGAAATTTGGAATAATATTCTGCCCTAGTGTGGATAAGAGAATTTCTCCTAATTACTCGCTAATATCACTCGGTGCCAGACATAAATCAGATATTGCCTTCTCTCAACGGGGAGAGACGCGTTCAATTTTACAGTATCACACGAATAAGCGAATCGGTATTACTCATTCCTGTAAAATTGCGCAAAGAAAATTAATAAAGGCTAAAAAAAAAAAAATTAATTGCAATATTAAGAAATAAATATTTAGAAAAGGCAATGGCAGACGAGTTATCACATGACGCGCTTCGAAAATGCAAAAGCAGAGAAAATGAAACCCCTGAGCAATGCCAAAAGCGACTTGCTCGAGATCGCGAAAATAAAAGCAAGAAGAAGAATGCGGAAAGTGCAGAAGAGCATAGAAAACGCTTGGATAAGGAAAAAGAACAAAGGCAGAAATGGAGAGCCTTGAATAGCAAAAAATCCTTAAATACTGCTGATGTGCGCTTAAGCTTAAACAATCAAGAGAATGAACAAACGTTAGTATTTGTTAATTAATGAAATTAAAAAGCTTTTTAAATATAAAATTTTTTAAAAAATGAGGTAATGATACTTTAGGATGCCTTCAGCCTTAATTGATGAATCTGACCGTAAAATTTTTGAAATAAGATGAATAAAATTGAGTACAAACTTTGTCCTACTTGTAATGAGTATTTTCCGTCAGTCAAGCTGGTCAGTGGAGAATGCCGTCGTTGCTATAGTAATAAGAGTAACCCAAAAAAATTTTCAGCTGAGAATAACATGGACCCAGGTGACGTGCCTGATGAACTTAGAGATCTTACCGAGATTGAGGAAATGTTGATTGCACAAATATTTCCTGTAATCTCAGTATATTGTCTTCGGGGAGGCCAGTACGCGTATAAAAGAAATATAATCCACTTTCCTCAAGATGTCAATGAATTTGTAACACGTCTACCACGTCACCCATCATCACTGGATGTTCTTGTCGTGCGTCGGCACTCTTCAAACGGACCAGCATTCAGAGATTTTAATGTTCGTCGTACTAAAATCACTCAGGCGCTTTTATGGATAAAAGCGAATAATCGCTATTACGCTAACATCGACATTGACAATGAAGCGCTACAATCATTGCCTGAAAATGGTCCTATTGATAATCGTCTTCAACAAGTTCAAAATACAGAAAATGAAAGTTTAAATGATGATGAAAACGAGACTGAAGATATAATTATACGCAATTTCGTTCCAGTTTCTCCACCATCTAATTGCGAAAATGATGCAATTAGTGGTGCTCTTGCAAGAATACAAGCCAGGAGTACACCAATTGCATGGCCAAATATTAATGGTAATCCCATCAATGAATTTCATACCCCCGGATACATTACTCATGCTTTCCCAACATTGTATCCGTATGGTAAGGCTGATCTTCGCTTGGAACGTTTGAGAGATGTAAAACCCGCTGAATATTTCCAACACCTGCTTAAATACAAAGATGGCAGATTTGCGTGGCATAATCGTTGGCGATATTTAGCGTTGAATTCACAAATGCGATGGAGAGCATTACAAGAAGGGAGGGCATATGTTAAGCAAAGTTTAAATGGGAAACAGCTAACTGTTGAAGAGGTTCAGGAAATGATTGAAAGCAATAGTCACCTGGCAGACCAAGTTATACAGTTTGGAGAGAGTTTACGTGGAACCCGACAATTTTGGAATAAAAGGCGGCTTGAATTGTTGGATATGATTAAACAATTGGGATCGCAAGGGCTGATATTCTTCACATTCAGCGCAGCAGATTTACATTGGCCAGAGCTCCATAATCTTATGCCACATAGTGAAAATCAAACAGAGATATCAGCTCAACAGCGACGTCAAAGCCTTATTGACAATCCTCATATAGCCACGTGGTTTTTTGAAAATCGGTTCAAATCTTTTTTGAAAGAGGTATTAATTCCTAAGTGGAACTTGGAAGATTGGTGGTATAGGTTCGAGTGGCAACACCGTGGCAGTACTCACATACATGGTATTGGAAAACAGAAAGGTGCGCCAGCTATCGAATGGGAAAAAATGAAAAATGACGATAACACAATAGTTAGAGTGGTTCAATATTTAAATTCTTTAGTCACTACAATTAATCCAGGGATCGATGCACCTGTACCTGATAAACATCCCTGCCAGAAACATGATAATGAACTACACGATGACCTGCAAGACTATATTGAATTAGTTAATAAATTGCAGCGTCATACAAAGTGTAGTTCTTCATACTGTCTTCGTATCAATCGTTTGGGAGAACAATATTGTCGATTTGGTTTTTCAAAAGAAATCGTAGAAAAAACAGTTATACGTGATAGTGATCACGGGCACCCAGAGCTTATCACAGCGAGGAATGATCCTATATCAACCCGCATAATAGACTTCAGCTCCAGGGATAGCGTGCTAATGTTGATATGAAACCAGTTCTCAGCACCCATGCAGCTCTTCAGTACATTGCTAAATATGCCAGCAAATTTGAGCCGCGTTCTGAAGCTTTTTCAGAAATATTAAACCGAATTCTTTGCAACAGCAATTCTAATGATTCATCACTTGCCTCATTTCAGAGATTACTTCTTCATGCTGTTGCTGAGCGTGATATCTCTGCACAAGAAACTTGCCATCATCTTCTTGGCATCCCACTCTACCATTCTAGTTGTCAGTTTATCTCTCTAAATCTCAACAAAGATGCACCTCGATTGCTTTCTGGTACCGGGAATGAGGATGAATTTTCAATAAATGCTGATGTTAGAAAAACAGTGAAATCGCCTTTGCAAAAGTATTGGGATAGACCTGATGAACTTGAAAATATTTCACTTTATCAGCTCTATTTAAAATACAAGTTTTTTAAAGGTAGATGGAACAATTGTGAAAAAGAAAACATCGTATGCATTTGGCCATGGCCTTCACAGCAGCGAAATGGCCCTTAATGGGAAGAATTTTGCCGCGTGAAAGTTCTTCTCCATGTATGCCATCGAAGCCTTGAGCAGCTTACTATGAATAATACAGTTGCTTGGTCTGATCTCTTTGAGCAATATATTTCAGAAATTGAGAACGGCCCCACTGATTTGCTAGGTTCTCCTATAGATAGTATAGATGATGAGTTTAGTGATGAAGAAGATGAGCAACAGGAAGATAGTGAATATGAAAATGAAATTAGATATGAATGGATGTTTTTAGCAGAAATAGGCCCAAACACGGTTATAGATAATCATTCAGACTTAGGTTTACGCGCAATAGATAAGAACCACGACTGGGTTGGTGATATTAGGCGACATCATCCAAACCTCAACACTGAAGATGTGGTGACATTTCTTCAGCAAGTTCGGGCCGAAGATTCTGAAAATCTAATTACTGATAAAATAGATTTTCAAACTTTAAATGAAAACAGATGAAGGTATTCAAACGGATCGAGGCACATTATATTGCTGCAGCCGTAAATAATAACAATGTAGAATAATTATAATGGGAACTGAAAAATCTTATTTAATCAAAGCAGTTGTAGCTCGAGTCAATGAATTGGCAAAAGATCACGGTGCTGAGAAGTCACCTGTACTCGTACTCGCACCAACTGGGGTTGCAGCATACAACATCCACGGAACCACCATTCATTCGGCACTCTCTATCCAAGTAAATTGTAATAATTTCGATATAAGTGGTGAACGTCTGAAACAATTACAAGACAAATTGCGAAATGTAAACTACTATATTATTGATGAAAAAAGTATGGTGGGACGAAGAACACTCGCCTTAATCGATATGCGGCTACGACAAGCTTTCCCTGAGCAACGAGATCAACCTTTTGGCGGTTAGTCAGTCATTTTAATTGGTGATTTTGGCCAACTCCCACCAGTACTCGATGATCCCATGTATACATCAAACCTTCGACGTGATTCACTATCAAACGATGGCATTATTGCATACAAACAATTTCGGGAGGTTTACAAACTTGAAGTTGTTCAACGTCAATCTGGAAACTCAGAAGAGCAATGCCATTTTAGAAATATTTTACAATGTCTTCATGATGGAGAATCAACGGAAAATACTTACTATGCGGGTTGCAGATTCACCCAATGTGGATAACAACCAATTTTTAGATGCAGTACACATTTTGTCTCGAAAGATCGAAGTTGATGAAGTTAATTATAATAAGTTAAGAGCGTTAAACTGCCCCGTCGCTAGAATCACTGCTTACCATGCAATGGGTGGTCGTGAAGCATCTAAAGCCGATTCTAACACGGCAAAAGGTCTTGAGCCCTACCTACTATTAGCTCGAAATGCACGCATAATGCTTAGGGCTAACCTATGGACTGAAGCAGGATTGGTTAAT